TCCGCAATTATAAAACGGGAATTCAGCTTAATATTGATGTGCTTACACAATTTATTTAAGGAGGATCGTCATTGCTATAATTGCGGAATTAAGCAAGCAAAAATATGGTTGCATCATTCAAAACCTGGACAATATTTATGTAAAAAATGTTACGGTCGTGAAAGATATATAAAGAAGTCAAATACAAATCAAAATGGAAGTGAAGCTGGTAAAGAAATAATTTATAAAAAAGATGGAAATTTTAAAGAAAGCAAAAAAGGAAGCAATTTATAAAATACCGTATTTTCTCTATTAGAATGCCATGGCATTCTATTTTTCAATCACCTTTTAAAGTGGCATTCTATTAGAGACTGGCATTCAACTGGAGAGTGGCATTGTATTTTTCGATGAGAAAATTTTAAAATTTGAAAAAAATTCACAAAAATACACAAATACACAAAAATTATAATTATACTTTACAATAATTCAGTCTTCATCGGCAAAAACATTTTTCAAATCTCCAAGTGGGAGCAGGCCAGTGTACCGCGAGCCCAATGTACCGCCGAGCTATAACTTTGTTCAAAATTGTCGAATCCTTGGCGCCCTGGTATGGTTCGATTCAGCTGGTCGAGACGCATCGAACCATACCAGGGCGCCACGGATTCGACAATTTTGGACAAAGTTATAGCTCGGCGGTACATTGGGCTCGCGGTACATCGGGGTGTACCCTCTCCAAATAGCCTCTGTATTATCAATTAATCTCAAATCTGCTCATATCCCTCTTACTCAGCCGAAACTCATCTACTAATATCCCTCTTAATCCCTATATCATTCATGTTCCCTTGAATTACCGATATCTCCCTTCTAATCCTAAAATATCTCTTAATCTCTTTATTCTTGAAATCTATTTATGTATATAATTCTTGATCACCATAAATTCCCCCATATCACTCTAAATCCGATTAATCACTTTAATCCACCAATATCCTCCGATATAACTCAAATCCCCTGATATCACTGATATAGTTTCTCGGTTGGATCCCGATAAATTGAAAAACGGCATTACTGGATCAAATATTTCTTATAGTTGGAAAATTTTCATTATTAAAAAAGGGTGTCATTCTATTAGAGACTGGCATTCAAATAGAGAGTGGCATTCTATTTTTCAATCATCTTTCAAGGTGGCATTCTATTAGAGAATGGCATTCAACTGGGGAGTGGCATTCTAATAGAGAAAATACGGTATATATCGAATTACATTTCAATTTCTAAGAATGATGAATATATCCTTTACATATATATGATATTTATCTTTTAATTACACATATATGATGCTTGGAATTATACAGATATGATGCCTCACAAAATTAATTTAAGGCGGATGTCATTGTTATAATTGCGGAATGTTAACTCTGTATTTATAGAAGCAGAAGGTAATGATTATCCGAGCATCATATCTGTCAAATGCCTCTTAATCACTTCTAATCCCTCGTACATTTACGCTTTATCTCGGGAGAATCGTAGGTGTATTTATTAATATATTTATTGAAAACTTTTTTATATGCTGATAATTATCTTACTAAAAAATTAAATATTTATGAATAGTATTAGTTTTTTATCAATTTTTTTACGGTTATTGCTTTTTCCATTCTAAATCTCTTATTGTAAAATATTTTAAATAGTGTCAACATTGTTTAAATGTAAATCATAAATTTGCCCAGTCTAAATAATTGTGCCTAACTAATGTACATGTATTTTCGCAAATATTTATAAATAATTGAAATGCCCAAGTTATTTGTTGAGACAACTTCATACTTTTCTGGATAATTTAATTATGATTAAATTTCTCAAGCCTATATTGGCATATTAAGAATTCAATAATATTCCTTGTAGGCATTTTCTTTAACTTCTGTTTTTATTATCATATTTTAAATTATGAGATTTCTGAAGGCCAAGAAGTTGGAAGTCCAACCGGTGAACCTTCGGTTACCGAAACCGATCCGACAACCCGAAGCGAAAATCTTCGGTTTTTCTGTTCGGTTCGGTTTGAAACCGACAACTCTACTTGGAAGGATTAATGGGTATTTGTAGATCAAATGAACTTGGAGGAATACAGGCAGATTAAAGGTCTTAATCTTGGTCTCGAGTCTTGGAAAATTAGAGAACTACAAGGCATAAACAATCGTATATATCTTTATGATAGTTGGATAGATCCAACTTCCAAAAAATAAAACAACGAAAGCAAGGTGGGAACTTAAAGAATACTGTCCTAATACACTTAGATTAATAAAGAAAATAAGTTGAAATAATACCTGTTGTGTAGTGATATCGATATAGTATAAAACCAGTGAAAGCGTCAGTCTAGGGAGGCTCATATTAGCGGGGCTAGTCACTGATCTCCGTTGTCTGTTCCAACCCTTTCCACCTTCACCTCATTGTTAATTTCTACACCGTATAAATGTTTTTGTGCACGTCAACATCATCTATTTTCCTGAAGAAGAGTTGCAAAAGTTTAGCCACTTGACTAAGGCAAATTTAATAGGGCCTAATTCCTTAGGTCATCCAACCAATTAACGGCTGTGTGTGAGTCCGAATAGAGCCACTGGCAATTCGTTCAAATCGGCCCGGCTCGTTTTTTTCGATTTAAGTCATTGTTTTATTAATATTTAGTTGTATTTGTTTGTTCTATTTTTGGTAGATTTTTCCTAAGAATCCAAAAATTAAACAAAATCCAAAGTGGGCTTATACTTTTCTACACAATATTTAATAATTTATAGAGTTATAGATAATAGAAGAATCTAAATTGTGGAAATTATCTTCGCTCGTTGGCTCTGGAAATTTATTTTTGTAAGCCAAGCAATGACTTAGGCTAAATTTTCATTACAATTTGTGTTTTCGCGATCCATCGTGTTGCTATTTATTTTGTTCCGCCTTCCCCCGTTTTTTAAACTAAGGCTTTATTAATTTAAAAATTAAAAAAAATTTTTTTAATATGCTTCTAAATATTTAATAAAATTTATTCTTAAAATTCACCCAAAAATCAAAAATTATCAAATGTTTAGTCTCGCACAAAGTTTCAGTCCCGTTAGTATTTGTAACTAGAGTACGTCGAGTACCGAGTAATTTTATTTAGTTTTTATTTAGTTCGTTCTGTATTGAATACAGTAGCCACTGCAGACTAGCAAGGGAAATAGCGGAATTGAAATTTTGGTTAAGTGGGTAAGAGCGCTGACTACAAAATCGTCTACAAATTGGGTCTCGGGTTCGAACCTTTTCATGGTTATTTAATATTTTCTAATTAAATAAATAAAATAAATCATGAAATAATCATTTTAAATAATATTTTAAGAGTCTAAAATTTTTTAAAAATGTTTATATTAAATAAAATTATTTTTAAATCAAAAACTTAAACGCCTTTGCCTAATTTGACAATTTTCTTGTGTATTTTCTTTGCCTCTATCGTGTAAACAATTTAACATCCATTGATGTCTAAACACTTTCTCTGCTGATAAAACCTCATCACCAACATTTTCATACCGAGGAGCCTAAAATTGTTTTTAAGGATATTTTCAAAAATAAAAAGCTCTTACTAATCGATTGAAAACGCCATGAACACTTTCTAATCCTTGTTCATTAACGAGAGACCACCATCCATTTCTTTTAGCAAAGTCCACTGCATGTGCAGCCAGCAAGTGAAGTTTCGGAAACATCTAAATATAAAATTTGTAGAGCATTTTAATTAAAAATAAACCTGTCCTGCTTTTGCATACTTTTTTAGATTTCTCCAACAAATGACAACCTGATTAACACGTTCCTTGAAAATATTGATATCATTCACAAATCCAATTTTGCTTTGTTTGTGGATTACTTGAAGAGCGGAAAAAAATTCAATCATTTTCGTCCTTGTTTCCATTTCTGAGATAACGCTGCACAATTCATCAGTATTTGTATCTTGTACAAGTTTATGTAGATCACCACCTTTATATAATTTATTTAGGCATTAAAAATAATTTAAAGAAAACCTCTAAACTGTTTAGTATGTTTGTCTCGTTTACAATGTAAAAAACGTAATTTTTCTTCAAGTTGAGCTCTGTTTCCAGAATAATCTGCAAAGTGTACAAGGAGTTCAACAGCTCTAGAAGTGATCCCATGTAGGAGATGAAAAGCGGGAGGAATAATTTCTGATGGTTCAATAGGCAAAAGCGGTTTACGTGTGTACGATTTCTCATTTGGAACGATTCCATCCAAAGTTCTTTTCGGCCCCATATCTTCGCATAATTCAGTTTTTGTTGACTCACATATCGGGCATGGATATCTGGCGGCAGATTCCTGATGCCCCATGAAAGACCCAATAAACTTGACATCGCCAGTTAACATCCTTAATTAAAAATAAGCTAAATAAATATAAATGTAAAACCATTGAATTTCCGATGTTATTTCTTTACCATTCAGCAAATACGTGATTTGTTTTATTTCTTTTATCTGATCCAAAACTGGTCTCAATCTGCTTTCCAGCTCAACTCTGTTGTCATCACCTCTATACAGTGCCAAGATTGTGAAATTGCTTGGGCGGCTTGGATTAGGAGTGTTGCCTATCAAAAAGCCAAACTTTGTACCATGACTTCCGCTTTGTCTTCAGCAATCGCTAACACAATTTTTCCAGCAAATTCCTCCCTAGTAACTAGCAACCCTAAATAAAAAACTAAAATTAAATATAACCTTGAATCTACCATTTTTAACCAAAGATTGAATTCTTATTCGTATTAATTCCTCGACATTCTCGCATAATAATGTTGGTGATGTCCATTCTCTATATATTCTAACTTTCAGTTGTTTTGCCATTTCATGTTTAATCTCCATCAATTTGGAAGTTGGCGCAAAACAGTCAATTCCTCTCTGAAAAAATTCCTTCTTCAATATTTTTCTCTGATTAAATGCAATGCCACTATTAAGTGTGACAAAAAGATCTTCTTCCACATCAAACTTTGATTCTCCAACTATTTGTTTACTAACAGTTCTAATCAATTGATGAGCTGAACAACGCTCAGCACCTGATATTTATAAAAAAATAATAATAAATAAAAAAAACTTGGACTCCTGTTTTTGATAAATTTTGCAATTTCATCAGCTCTTTTAGTTTTCTGCTTATTTGTTAAATTTTCAAGTAATTTTCTTGGCTTTAATGCTGCTTCTTTACATTGATTCTTCTTTTTTGCTTGATTTACATTTTCTTCTTTTAAATTTTTTAATTGAGATTTTAAGAGTAAATTGTCGTATACTAGCTGAGTATATTGTTCCATAGGTTCAGTTTGAGCACAAGCATCTTGCATTGTTGGGAGCTCAGTTTGAACTGATTCATCTTTACTTGTAGGGGGGATTGTTTGTTGCTCTGTCTGTGATGCTACTTCTTTTGTTTTTGGTCCGGGGGTAGATGAAAAATGTACTGTTAATTAAAGAAAATTGAAAATTATTTAAAAAAAGACAAAATGAAACCTGTTGCTTTCAATGCCTTTCCAACTCTGGCCCTCTCAGCTTTTTGTGCATTTGCAATCTTCTTTTTACTTTTTTCTTGATTTCCTTCAATGCCAATTTTTGAATAAAACCGCCTATTTTTGCCGTTTCTGAGCATTTTATTAATTTTAATAAAGCCCTAAAATTGTTAATGCGTGAATTTTATGAAAGATGCGTGAATTTTGCTAATTTTTTTTTTCAAATGATTTTTTATCTTATATTCTAACAAATTGTTAGACAAAATCAAAATCTGTTAGAAAATGACGGAGATATTAGATTTTAAAGTCGGTTGAATCAACTTGAATCGGATTTGTAAAAATTAAATGAAAAGAGTATTGAAAAACAAGAGAAAATTAGAGAAAAAGAGATAAATTTAGCTCTTTTTTAATTGGTTGGCGTTCTGCACCAATAAATGACATTTCGTTCGCTATTTCCCTTGCTAGTCTGCTGTGAGTAGCTATTTAATCCTTAAGGCTGTGAAGTCTACACTATATTTATTTTTTCATTATTTAAGTTTGAAATATCGGTGAAGTCTTCACACAATTTGTGTTCCAAGTTCACTAATTTGCTTTTAATTTTTTGGATGCTGAACGTTATTCAGCAAATAATTCAAACAGAATTTGACACCAATGCTGTGTTGTATTGGTTAACACAAAGATTTTCACTTAACGGGAACTGAGGTTCAATGACTGGCGGCAATTGGTGGCTGCTTTAGTGTAGTCTATGTATGGCACTTGCACAGGTGGAACGCCACGAGTGAGGGATTTACAAAAATAATCCGTGGTTCACATATAGTTCACAGTCTCGATTTATTTTCTTTCAAATAATGCTTTTAATTGTTATGTTCAAATTTGTCAAGCGTATAGTAGTTTAATTTCTAATTAGTTATAAAATATATAATTTTTAATTTTTGTAATGCATATATGCACTACTAATTTGAAGAAGTTTGCGCTGGTTGTAGAAAACACTCTCCTATTTTTGGAAGTCAAGCAGTGCTTAGACTAATTCTTTATGCAAGGGTAAAGGAAAGTGTCATGTACTAGTCTTCGATGTCTACGTACTAACAAAGAATAACAAGATAAGACAGTAACTAACAACTGTGCTTTATAACGAAAATAATAATATAACGAGCGGTAGGACGCCGCTTCGCGGCGTCCTACCGCTCTTTCTACACCTTTTAATGTTTTAAATAGGAAATCCCCTCAATAGCCAAATTCCTGATATTACTATTTTTTCTAATCATCCAATAAATCATCGCCAAATCCTATATATCAACATTTATTAACCAAAATCCTCCGAAATACCTTTTTCGCTCCTATATTATTCATTACATATTCATCAAAAACACGGAAAAAACTCTATTTTCCAGAACCCCGATATTATTTTTATCCGTGCCCGGGCATGCGTCAGTGGACGATCAGTCAGTATTGATATAAAGTGATTAAAACTAATGAAAAGGATAAGAATAACATAAAGAGACTAAAGATGGATATAAACAGATTAAGATTATTTAAAAAGGGATTTTAGGGTTTAAAAAAGATATAGAGGGATTTGTTGGGATTAAGGCCGGCATCTCGGGTTTGGGAGGATTAAGATGCAGATCAGCCTATTTGGAGGGATATCAGTGAATTTTTATCTCTATATCATCGCTTTTATCACTTTATATCAATATTGATCGATTGTCCACCGACGCAATGTCCACTGACGCATTTTCCACTGACGCAATGTCCACTGACGCATTGTCCGGGAGCCTTTTTATCCCCAACATTCGCTGATTTACCTCTTAATCACTCAAATCCTCCGTTTTTACAAATCCCCACAAAACCTCTAATATTCCTGTTAATAACCTTGTTCTCCTATTACCATCCCTAATTCGCCAACTCTGTATTTCTCAAAGTCCCAGATACACCCTTTATCCACAACTTGCTATAACTCTTAAATCCTTTGCTTTAACTTTTTATTACCATAAATCTTGAATATCACCACTTTATTCACACATATCATCCGATAACTTTTTCCCCCAAAAGCCGTTTAATCCTTTCGATACAAATCATATTCACCACCAAAACCCATATATCACTCTTTAATCCCCGATATCATCTTATTATTCTCAGATCCATAGCAGGGGTGTGCCGAAACGGATTTTAAAAAGCGAAACGCGAAAGGCGAAATTTAATTTAGAGTGGAAAACGAAATGCGTAAGTAAATTTTAAAAAGCGACACGCGAAACGCGAAACTGGCACACCCCTGATCCATAGATATCATTCTTTATTCCCGCAAAACCACCTTTCAATTCCTTTATCCCCCGATACATATTTTTGGATAAATATCATAAATACACTTAATAACTTTTAATCAGAGATCGGACAAACGGCAGAATCAAATATTTGATAAAATAATTTGAAAATGATTTGACTTTTGAAAAAATTTGATCAGTAATGTAAAATATTTGATCATATATCAAATTTTTTAAAAAATTTGAAATAACATATACATATGTAGATCGGGGTATTTAAGAGTATATCGGAGATATTTGTATATGGAGATGATATAGGAGGATTAAAATGGATGTTGAGGTATTAGGCGTGATATAAGGGAATTGTAAGGCTTAAGGGGTATATAAGGGGATATGGGAGCATTAAGAGGTGAAGTAATATATGGATAAAAGGTGCATCGGGATAAAAACTCTTAATCCAACTATATCCCTCCAAATCCTTCGATATCCACTACAAATCCTCTTATATCCCAAAATCCTCTCCTAAGCCGTCAATATCCATCCTAAGCCCCTACATCCATTGTAATACCAATATCCCTCCAAATCCGTCGACAACGATTCCATGACCGACTATATCCCTCACAATCCGAAAGTCCCTTCAAATCGAACGATATCCATCCAAATTACCCGTTATTTCTCTTAATCCGTCGAAATCCACAAAATGCCCTGATATTCTCCTAATAATCCCAAAACCACTGATGCACATTTTGTTCGGCAAATCCATCTATATTCTCCTTAATCCACCAAAATTCCTCTTAATCATCCCAAATCATCTAAAACGATCTACCTCTAATCCCCCAAAATCTCTTCTAAATTCCTATACAAAGTGAATTCAATCGTGTGGACTCAACTGAACTGTTCTGATACGATAAATAATTTGTCTTGGAGCAAAAATCTCGGTTATCATATAGATGTTATAAGTAAAATATGCCATCCTTACATGTTAAAAAAGAAAATCAAATAATTTTTCAAATTATTTTATATTTGATCAAATATTTGATTTTTCAAACATTCATCAAAAAAAATGGTTGATCAAATTATTTGTTAATTATTTGATATTTGAAAGAATCAAATATCTTTGAAAGCTCATCAAACAAATATTCGTTAAATTAAATTTTAAATTTGATCAAATATTTGTATGATCCGATCTCTACTATTAATCCCACTATATCCTTCAATGGACGACTCTAACCCATAAGACTCATATATCAATTTAGCCCGCCTCAACTACGATAATTGCTTTATTCGCCAAATCCTCGATATACCTCCTAATCCCATCAAATCTGGGATACCCCTCTTGATACTAAATCCCTTGTTGTCTATTCTAACTTTCTTAAAAAGCTTTGAAAAAACCTATTGTGGTTATTAGTTTCCTATTGGCTTTACGGACCCTGTCTTTACGTACACTGTGTCTGGCTTTACGGACCCTGTCTCTATCTGTTCTCGCGAAACCCTTAGATATCCTGATAAGCTTGTAATTAATTCGGTACGGAGATCATCCTTTCCTTAAATTATTCAAAATTAAAAAATTAGAAAAAAATAACCCAAATCAGGTAGAAGATGTGGCTGTATTCTTTGCTTCACAAACGCAGAAGCATATTTTTTCCTAGTTTCTGTAGGTATATCACAACAAGCCTCAAAAAATTTTTGCCATTTTTCTTCTTTTTCTCGTTTTTCCGATTCCTTATTTTTCTTGGCCTCTGCACGTTCTTTTTTGTGTTCCTCCTTTGCCTTCCCTTTCTTATCTTCTTTTAAAAGAGATTCAAATTCTTGATTGGAGTTAGCTGAAAAATTAAAAAAGTAAAAATTTTCTAAAAATAAAAGTGAAATTTTTCGTGACCATCATTTTTTCTCTTCAGGCTAATTTTTAGAGGTGTCACTTTTTTACAAGAAGAACCAGTACCAGAGGACGTTGGTTGTAAATCTTTTGAAGATGCTGGATTCGAAGTAGATTCAGCAAATCGGACAACTTTCTTACCAGAAAGCATATTCTGCAAATTTAAATAAATATAATTTTCATTTAATAACTATCGGTTAAATTTTTCAATTTAAAAATTTTTAAAAATTTTCACATTAAAAATTTTTAACCACTTTTTTAATTTGTCCAGAAGAACCAGCACCAGATGACGTTGGTTGTAAATCTTTTGAAGTTGCTGGATTCGAAGTAGATCCTGCAATTCGGTCAACTTTCTTACCAGCTAATTGTTTGCCACGTCCAGCACGCATATTCTGCAAATTTAATAAAATATAATTTCATTTAATTACTATCAGATTTTTCATATTTTATTTAAAAAATTTTAACCAACTTGAAATTCCTTATATTTTAATGCCAAAACATTACGAACAACTGGCACACTTGCTGTTGGATTCATATCTTGGAATTGTTGACGAAAGCGAACATTGAACGACTAAAAATAAAAAATTTTATTTGAAGTAAATAGTTTAAAAACGAAAATAATTTAAAAGTTTTCTGTATAACCTTTTCAAACGAAATATATTCAAAGTCCTCCTCATTATATTCAAATTGAACATCAATTAGTCCCAGCATTTTGCACAAATCAGTACTTGTAAAAGGATCTAAAACTTGAAAAAATTAAAAAAATTTTTAATTTTAAATCAACCAAAAAATATTTTTAAAAATTACCAGCTTCTCCAAAAGCAGCTTCCCCCATTCCTTCCATTCCATAATTTCCCCCTTCAAAGTCTTCCTCTAAAAAATTTTTCAATCAACCAGAAAAGTATTTTTAAAAATTACCATCTTCTACTAAATCAGTCTCCATTCGTTCCATTCCATAATTTCCCACTTCAAAGCCTTCCTCCTCTTCGTCTTCCTCCTCTTCTTGCATTGAATCAACTTGTGCTTCGTCTACAATTTTTCGCCTCATGCAATTGGGAGAATTCTAAAATTAAAAAACCAAATAAAAGGTAAAAATTTTTTAAATTTTACAATTAAAAAAATTTTTTTTAGAGCTTCTCGTGATGCTCTACGAGAGCATCTATCCAACCGTTCTAGCTTCTCCTCTCTTGCCAACAATTCTTCTTCCTTCTCCTCCAAAAAATAATTTTTAAATTCGTCCAAGTGCTGTATATTTTTTTTAGGCTCCCAAGAGTCTAAAACAAAAACATTGTTAAAATTTAAACAATTTTGAAATTACTCCATTCTGGTCCAAATCCAGACCACTTGATCAAATATTGCTCTCTCCCATTTTTTAATTTTTTCCCCAAAATTTTTTCTACTTTATAGTCCATCTTAAAATTATTTTTATAAAAATTAAATTTAAACTCAACCTCCTCCTCCCCCTGTTGTAAAGCATCAAATTCAGAGTATTCTCTCATCTTTAAAACATATTTATAAAAATTAATTCCAAAAAAATTTTTAGATATTATTGTTGGTAAACATTTAATTAATTTTATATAAATATTTATAATTTTATCAAAATAAAATTATTTAAATAAAATAAAATAATTATTTGTTGTTTTTTCTTTTTAATCCTAAATAAAAATAAGTTTTTTTTTGGGGGAGGGGGGGGGCAAACCTCCTTCTCCATGAAAAACATTACCAGTTGAACAACAAATTGGAATCAGCCAACATTTGTCATTTGTAGAATTCGATCGAACTATAAATTTTAATTTAGAAAAATTTTTAAAATTAAATTAATTTTCATAAATGGAATAGGTCCCTGGTATCTTTGGTCCCCAGTATCCGGTTTGTATTCGGTCCCGAGTATCCATTGGTTCCTGGTATCCGACCCCCGGGTATCCTGGCTGGTTCCAGTATCCGGTTGTGACCGGTCCCGGTATCCTGACTGGTCCCCAGTATCCGGTCCCTGGTATCCATTGGTCCCCAGTATCCGGTTTGTATTCGGTCCCGAGTATCCCCCGGGTATCCTGACTGGTTCCCAGTATCCGGTTGTGTCCGGTCCCGGGTATCCTGTCTGGTCCCACGTATCAAGTTTGAACCGGTCCCGTGTATCCATTGGTCCCCAGTATCCGGTATTAACCGGTCCCTGGTATCCATTGGTCCCTGGTATCCGACCCCCGGGTATCCTGACTGGTTCCCAGTATCCGGTTGTGGCCGGTCCCGGGTATGCTGTCTGGTCCCAATTACCAAGTTTTAACCGGTCCCGTGTATCCATTGGTCCCCAGTATCCGGTATTAACCGGTCCCTGGTATCCATTGGTCCCTGGTATCCGGTCTTAGGTATCCTTTCTGGTCCCCCCCCCCTCCCATTTTAAATCATTTTTCCATTTTCAACTTATCTTATTATTTCATTTCATAAAAAATTGTAAACAAGCCAACAATATCCAAGAAAATCCATTAAAAAGGAAAAGAATATCATGTTCTAAAGGCTCATTTAAGTGTGCAAAAACTTCCAAAATTTCCATCATAATAGCACAAGAAACGGCATTATCTGTTGCGGTAAAGTATCAAAATGATAATTAATTAAAATTACCAAGAATTGCTGTAGACCATTCTCGGAAAGTCAACTCCATTGGTGGGATTGCAATCGGAATTTACCCTAATTTGATTGTGGACTGCTGGACTACGTACAACACATAACAACTAAAATTTTAAAAAATTCTTCCGGTACTTTTCTGTTTTGTGACCGCACTTTAAAAATGTTTAAAAAGGGTCATGAATATGGACAAATTATATGTCATTCGAAAGAGCTCCTCGAGCTGAGTCGAATGACATCAAAATCAGCTCGATATCTTGTTTATGAGCCAAGATAAAAATGTTCAAAATGGTCAACGTTAACCTATGGATGGCATAGGTAAAGCTAAACAAACGATCATAACATTGTCCAATCCTGTTCAATCACGGTGATTTTGGTGTCTTTCGACTCAGCTTGCCGAGCTCTTTCAAATGGCATACATTTTGGTCGCATTCATTATTTTGACCATTTTGATCCTTGTATCTTTTGACCATTTCGAGCCCGTACCATTTCGAATCCCACATGTTCTTGGTGTCATTCGACTATGCTCTAGGAGCTCTTTCGAATGACATATAATTTGTCCATATTCATGACCCTTTTTAAACATTTTTAAAGTGCGGTCACAAAACAGAAAAGTACCATTCTTCCAAAATAATTGTTGTAAATACCTCCCCAGTGTGTAAAGACCAACCACGAACAATTAAATCCTCGCCAACAGCAAATATAAATTGTTCATTTGCATCAACGAAACAAGGAAGTTTATGTGAAGAATTGAGATGTCCAGACTCCATTTGTGTTAATACTTTTTTGTTCGAATATCCCAAAGTTTTATCTTCCCATCAAAATTTTCACCAACAAAGTATTTGGCTTTTTGCACAAAGTATGAACAAAACCAGATGAAGCAGAATCAACAAATTCACCCACGCAATGATTTGAATGCATTCGAAGGTCCAACAAAGAAATATTTGTAAATTTACGACCAAAGAAAAGATTGTTTCCGTCCCGAAATTAAAACATTTTTAATGAATGGACACTAAAAACCTTTGAAAAAGCACACAAAATTACATTTCTTCCCCCACTGGATACAGAGAAATTCTGTCCAGAAAGGACGTTAAATATTCGAGCATTTCTTTCCATTCCAACACATATCTAAAATAATCTGAATTTTAAAAAATAATTCTTTCCCTTCATATGATGAGAATTAAAACAGAGTGACCAAATAGGTTCAGTTGATGTTCATTCAGAGTTGTAAATGGAAGAGCTCATCGATTCACGGCCCTTAATTTTTTATAAAAAATAGAAAAAAATAAAAATAACTTCTTCACTCAAATTAAATTCAATAGGTCGTAAATGTACATTACATTTTGTAACAATTTGTGGGGGAAATTTGTCACAAACCGAATTGTAAAAGGAACTAGCTGTAGCAAAAAGAAGACATGAACATCTCTATCTGAAATTTTAAGGAAGAATTTCTACTCCTTCATAAAAAATGTCAGTAAAAACCTGCTGGAGCAAGTACCATATCAACAAGTACTTGATTTGTTGTTTCTAGACAAATTCCATTATCAAGAGGATCAAATTGCAATCTTAACAAATAAACTTAAAATTTAAAAAATAAACAAAAAATAACCCATATGTGTTACAAGAAAATCGTCCATTTGTGTCGAACAATTTTTTAGGATTTTCATCCAAAAGTTGAGCGTGTCTTCTTAAAAATAATTATTAGAAATAAAAAAATATCTAACAACCTTGCTTGTTCAGAATTTGAATGAACTTTAAAGGACAATACTCGTGAACATTGATTATGACCAGAAAAAATATCATTCCGCTGAGTTGACCAACACCCTAACAAGGTTTTCCCATCTTCAGAAACATCCAAAAACTGGCAACTGTCAAAACGTTGTGACCAACTATCCGAAACCTCAAAATAATTTAATTTTACTTTTTTGTTAAAACCTCAGAACTATAACTAGGTGTTTGCTTAACAGACCGTAATCTTGACTCTTCAATTAAACGTAGATTTGTACCCCTACATGAACCAAAAATTTGAAGCCCAGCCAAAGCATTCGGCAAACTTATGTTGTTAAATTTCCGTAAGGAATTATTTGTATTAGAACATTTTAAAATTTCTGAATTAACTGTCAACTTTCGTAAATTTAATAAAGTTGAACCAGAAGGCAGGTATTACAGCAGGCATTCTTAATTTCGGGTTTGCCTCAATATGTTCAATTGGTTCAGCAGGATCGGTTCTGTGCCAGGCATTAAATTTACCAGGAAAATCAACACCTAGAAATTATCAGATTTTTTTAAAAATAAAGCAACAAACCCATAACATGCCCACAAGTAGAAGTAACTTTAAATATTGCTGACAAATTATTAAATCTTCTTTGTACGTTGAAATTGAACAAGCACCATTCGAACCTTTATAAGGATTTTTAAAAATAAAGAAATTAAAAAGAACCTTTTCGAGTTTCTCAACTTCCTTCTGAAAGAATTCTTGCAATAGATTCAGCCTATATTGGCCTCCTCGACAACCCCAACAACCATATAAAGAAAATAAAAAATTAAAAATCCAAAATTAAATGCCCTTTTTTAAAGTAACAGTTAGTTTGAATTAAAAGGTGTGGTTGCATCCTTTCGGATGCAACAAAAGGTGTGGTTGCATCCTTTCGGATGCAACCACACCTTTTAATCAATAAAAGTTGTGTGTCTTCTACACTTTTACAAATGAAGAAGACACACAAAATAGTGCAAACACAATCAATAAAAAGAGATGGAAGTGTAGGGTTTAAAGGTGAAAGAAAAGGGGAAGTTTGAGTCTGGGGTTTTGGCATTATGTTGCCGACTTGGGCGTTTGTTGCCGACTGGGGGGGTTCCATTACTACTAGAGGCCTTCTACATAATTTTTTAAATTTCATTTCGGGTCCACGACTGACGGACCGTAAGTTTCGGTCCTCATGTTGGGATCCGCAAAAGTCGGCTAACCAAAGTTGTTACTCCTTTTATTTGAAAAATGATTAAAAAATTTAAAAAACTCTTAAAGTTTTTCTAGAGAAAAATCAACAAAAAGCAGCTTTAATTTTCTAAATTTCAGATGATTAAATTTAATTATATAATTTTCATATATTTATTTATTCTTTTGAAAATTCAGTGTTCCGGTAGACTTATTAGTGTGGAAGTGAAAATTAGAGATGATTGGAGAGATAAAAGAGAATTTATTTATTTAAAAAATGCTGAAATAAAGGAACGTTTTGCGTTGAAAGTAATTCAAAAGACAAATAATCGACATGATGGCTTTAATAAAAATATAAAAGAATATTTACGTTCGATTGATATAAATTTAGATAAAAATATGTTTGAAGTTGAAATAAATGATCGATCAAAATATATTCCATCTGATCAATTAAAAAAGAAAATTTTGATTGAAATTAGTAATAATGAAATAATTCAAAATTTTCTGCCTGGGCTTGAAAAAATGGTAATTTTTACTGCTAGAATTCACATTTCATAGTGTCACAACTATCTTGCAAATTAAACATATCAGCATGGAAATCGAAATCCGCCGCTAAAACTACTCTAATCTGTGTTAAATTTAAGGTACTCCGAAATAAAAATTTTAATGGAGATATTAATTGTTATGAAACTTCAATATTAGACGAGAGTGAAAATAATTTTAGCTTAATTGGAAAAAATATAGAAAATTACAAAAACAAACTTTTATCAAGTTATTGGACGGAAATTAATTTAATTGGATATAAAATTGAATTGTTAGAAAAACAAAAAGTTGAATATCCTAAGGAATTAAAAGGCAAAATAAATGAAATTGGCAATAAAATAAGTAAATAGTTTATTTAATTTTTTATTAGTTTATATACCTATACAATATAAATTTTATTCTTTATTATTTTAGGAGGAATAATTGAAGAAAATAAGCGCAACTGTTTCAATTGTAAATTTACAGTTAACAAAAATTGGAATAGATACCTAAAAGAACATCATTTGTGTGATCCATGTCAAAAATATAAAATATATAATGGCAAAATGAGACCTGAAAAAAATTCTTATCAAAATAAAATGGTTTTAATTTATTCATATTATAATTATCTATACTTTTATAAAAGTATATGAGTAGTTTTAACTGTTTCGAGTAAATTTATATGACATTATTGGTAAATACTTAGTTTGTAGAGTTATGCCTATTTTTATAATTATTTTAGCGAATGATTCAAGATCGAAAATGTTTTATTTGCGGAGCAACAAAAACATCACAATGGTACCGTCATTCAAATCCTGAAAAATATATATGTATAGCTTGTTACATGAAGCAAAAAAGAATAAATAAGAAAACAAATAAAAATCAACCAGAACAGGAATCGAATGAATAGTATTTAGAAAATTACGATTTTCTAACTTTAATTTTCTGAGTTTTTTGAACAAATTATAAACTACATATTTCAAATACAATAACATATGTAATTTCAGTTTAAAACAAAATTCTTTAATTGTTACCAAGATAAATATTAAATACATTTATTTATTTTCATTATTTTATTTTATGAATAATAAAATTTATATATGAATATACATATGAATAATATAATTTATAATTTATTGCCTCTTATTTATATGTATAAGAAAAGTATTGTTTTGTTGTGTGTATTTAATTCGGAAAATGGGAAAAATAATAAACAAAAACTAGATAAAATACACACAACAAAAAAAGGAAATTTTTTTTGGACAACTAATAATAAAAAAATGTTTCATTAAAAAAATAATAAAATAAAATAAAAAATAAAAAATACAAAAAATACTACAAAAATTTTAGAATTGGGAAATAAAAATATGAAAACACAAAAAAAACATTAATATATAATAAAATACAAAAATTCAACCAAAAACTTTTTTCAAATTTAATCAACTAATAATAAAAAAATGTTTTGCTAAACTAGTATATGTACATTTTTATCTAAATTCTTCTTTACATGATTATGCAACACTAATCACATTCATCCTCTTTGTCGATAGTTTCAGGCAATTCCTCTCCGATATTTTCTTTATTCTCATTATGAATTTGTATTTTTTCCTGAAGATCCTTCCAATAGCTTTTAGAATATTTTGCTTCGTCCATGTCGTCATGTTGATTTGAGTACTCGTTGTTACTTGGAGTGAATACATCAATTTCATTCCTATTCCAGGTGCGAACTAATTCAATTCTATTTGACGCATTCTCCTCTTTTTTATACATTGATAAAGCATAAATAACAAAATAGGAAAGAAACACAAATAGGATAAATAATTTAGAAAAGAAACCATCATGTTTATTATTTGTCTTTTCAATTACTTTCAGCCCTAAACGATCTATTATTTCAACCTTCTTCAAATAGATAAATTCTCTTTTTTCTTCCCAATCATCTTTGATCTTCACTTCAATCTTAATTAATTTTCCTTCACTTTGTACATTCAATTGTATAATTAAATTTAAAAGGAAAATAATAAAGGATTTAGTCATCTAAATTTAAATATTTTGAAAATTTTTAATTTTGTTTTGATACCTTATCAACGGAAACAAATTTACTATATAATGAACTGTGATGTAAATAAATTTAACTCCGCCTAATATTTTGATATTCTTTAGGGAGGACTCGACATTAATTTAACACTTATATAAACACAGAAACTTTATCAAAGATTATACCATTTAAAATAAGGTAGCATGGGAAAAGGAAAAAGTGACAAAGTGTTTTTAAAAAAGTGGTTTTTATAAATGAAGTTAAAATTTTTCCTGTTTCAAATATTCTATCTATAATAGTTTAGTAATGGGATTTTTAAAATTTAAGTAAAACAGTAATTAACAAAAAAATATATCTATTTGTTTTAATTGATATTTAAATTTATTTAATGTTGGTGGATTAAATAAGTGTTGCTAAATAAAAATATTTATGAGAATTTATAAATATGGAAGAAGAATTTATGCTTAATATTCTACTATATTATAAATAATATATGTACAAGTTTAAACCAAACAGAATTTAGAACGTTATAGTATTATATGAGACTTATACATAAATATTTCCTATTTTCTAAAGTTTAATTAAATGCTAAGTGTATACAATAAAAAACGACGATCGCGTACAAATTTTACTGATTGACTTTATTAATCGTAGATTTTGTAATTTTATTAAGCGGGAAAATAAATCAGAATTTTGAAAAACGCTGAAACATGTCAAGTGAGATAGGAATTAAGCTATTTTTTAAAATTTAGATCTGCCAGATCGGATAAAGATGAACGGAATTACATAGGGTTTACCCTTTCCCTATTTAAATTTCCGCCACTGTATAATATAAAAAAATGTGCACGTACAAATTTTACTGTCTGACTTTATTAATCGTAGATTTTGTAATTTTATTAAATGGTAAAATAAATAAAATGTACAACTTTTGAAATTTTTGTTGACCAAAAAATTTTAAAGTACATATGATTAAATTCAAAAGAATCTGATCTTTGAATGTAATTGTACTTTTATGTACAATTTTATGTACGAATTTTTACCCTTTTCACGTGTCAAATTATTTAATGTTTGTGTTATTCTAAAAGAATAGTGTAAAGCAAATAGCTATTTAATTTATAAATTATTTCTGGAGGCGGTTGATTATGTAACTAACGATTCCGGTGAACATAAGAAAGATTAGATAAGGGGGAAATAGTTACCCCATAGCATCTTAATTATATTCAAAGTAATTGAACTATTTAAAAATTATTTTTATTCTTTTATTAAGCGTCTAACATATTGTATACATATTCTATGGTTCTTAGAATAAAAAATTCTCCTTTCATTGTTTTAAATATTCTCATTTCAATTTAAATAGAGGTCGTATAAATATAATGTCGGGATTCCGATCCTCTCAAGGTTAAAGAGCATAGAGGAATTGCCAAATACTATGCTCTATTTTAAAAATGTCAATACGGACGTGTTAAAAGTGCATATGCATCATGTGTGAAGCTGATGTTTGTACCTAACATAGGTGAGGAAATGTCGCAGTCAAAAGGGCGGAGATTTTGGTATACTCGTAATTTTTCACTCTCCATTTTACCAATCTCCTCCCTTCAATGCTCCGTTTATAAGTCAGTCAGGACTGCCAATGAATTCATTTACATTTTAAATTTATTACATTTTAAGTCGTTTTTCTAATTGTTTGTCGTTGAGTTTTGTTCAATTAAGGAATGAATAAACATGTTTAAATTATAATTAATGTTATTTAGAAAATAATATAACATGTTTACATTAATATATTCTGAACGTGTTAAAGTATATTTAACATCATTCATCTTAAATAAAAAAAGAAGCTAATTTTGTGGCATTTATTAGCCATATTAAACCGAGAAGTACTCCTCTTCGTACAGTTTAAATCTAAGATTCAAAAAAATAGAGAAAGAGTATATATATCGATACCCCTATAATGTCGATATAAAATCTGTTGATAATTCTAAAAATTTGGGGAAAAAATATGCGCATCCATTATAATGGGATGCCCATAGCCCAAAATTTAAATATCAAAATTTCAAAATCAAAAAATTTGAGATTTAGCTCTTGTCTACAAAATATTAATCACATAAAATATGTTTTGATTTTTGGATAAAACTTTTATTTTAAATTTTCTTCAAGAGTAAATCCTGAAATGACCGCCCAATAAGTCTATCCTGATCTTGATAACCAGATAAGTTGCAAATCAAATGTAAAAAAATTTGTAAGAGATGGTCTTTTACCTAAAGAGGCCTTTTACATAATTTTTAAAATTGATTTCGTGTGTGTGTCGGTCCTCATGTACGGGTCCGCAAATGTCGGCTGAGGAAAGTTGCTACACCTTTTATTTGAAAAAAATATTGAATTAAAAGACTGCCTTTATTTGAAAAATGATTAAAAAATATTAAAAAGTCTCAAACAGC